TCCCGCTCCTATCCCACAAGCCTAGTTCGGTCTGTGTTTACAGCTAAGGGATGAAATGAATGAATGAATGAATGGATTGTGGTGAGACCACGAAAAGAGGAAATGAAATAGATTGTGAAACGCATCTGTGTATTATAAAAAGTTGAGAAGATGTAAGGAGGACATGTAGGGAAGCTAAATGTGAAAATGGCTGTCTGTGTTTCATCCCTAAGAGGCAAACACAGACGGTATGCGGTGTGGATTGGGGTGGGAATGATCAGTGCAGCCCCCAATCCACCATTTGGAAATTTTGATAAACAGGCAGACTGTATCGCGTAAGAAGTCTTCTTACACATGACACTTAAGTCCAATCCCTCTGTTCTAATATTTCAATATAATTGTTGTTGTTGTTGTTGCTGCTTCCTCACTCATTTCCGTTGTGATTACAGGCGAAAATTTCTGTTTATCAGTAAGGATCGTGCGCATACATTGATATTTAAAGAATTGGGCTACTGTTCAAGTGCTATTGAGCAATACAGGTTCACTTAAATTCTGCAAAACACCGTTGTTTTTGATAGTTAGGGCAGTGAAATGCATGTATTTGTTGTTCAGGAATACACAGGAATCGCTGGAAGCTCAGCATCGTTTTTATCGCGCACTATATCCAAAAATACATCGAGATATCGAATCACTGAAAGCCAACTGGCAAAATGGACGACATGTACTCTCTCGTATCACATGCCATTCGGAGCCGAGCCGAGGTACAACACACTTTTTTTTTAAACGAATTTTGAGGGATTTAATGAGATAATTATACCCTCATATTTCTTTATAAGCGTCAAATCATAAAACAGCTAATTGTTTTTGAGTTTCATGTACATGGCTATATTCAACAACATGTCTAAAGTTTGTACCACATGAACAGCCCAGCTATCTTTCCCATCACAATTCACTAGCAAATTCCACCTTCTCACCCTTAAAACTCCGGGAATTCAGCCATTCTGAATTTTCTTTGCTTTGTACGGGCCGTTACATCAGAAGGTATGATTTAACCTACCACATAGTTGCACAATTAACTTCCCGAACTTCGAAGGCCAGTATTTCACAGGGTTAGCTGCTTTGATTGCTTGCGATCTTGCTACGGCACGAAAGTGCAAAAACGCATAATCGCACCCGCCCGCCTGGTTCATTCCAGCCTGGGTTTGCATGGAGCCCGGTCGTTTTTATAGTAAATGCTCACTCTTCAAAAAAATGCAAATTTCCAGTTCACAGAAAAGTAGAAATGTTCTTAGAGCGGTCGTTCGTCAAAAAATCCAAATACCCAAATGAGTCCACTTACATGTTGGGACAGGATGAGGGCGGTCGTTCGCTGCAAAATGCACTCGCTTCTGATTCTTCGGTAAAATGTCCACCTGCAGGAAATTTCAGTTCCAAGCAAAATTAAGACCGCACTTGAAAGTAGGATATTCCAGCGACGTTTCAGCCTCGCACCTTATTCGGTAAGCGAAATGGCCACTTCGGTAGAAATATCTTTGTAGTACCATAAGTTTTGGCGCAAAAAGCCACTTGACAATTTCACCTTCTTCTGCGGCCCTACACTTGGACCGTCCAATTTTTGGTTCAGCCTCCTATGGCCCTTTTATTTCACTTTTTGACAAAGCTGCTGATGGTTCTCCCATTCCCACTTTCTTCCAGTTTTAATCAAAAGCAGTTTTTTTTTTCAGGTGTATATTGTCTGCAGTACGATGATGATAAAATCATATCAGGCCTACGCGATCATACCATAAAAATTTGGCAACGAAAAGATTTGCAGTGCTCACAGACGTTACGTGGGCATACCGGCTCTGTACTGTGCCTGCAATATGATGATCGTGTGATAATCAGTGGAAGTAGCGATACATCAGTGAGGTATGCCGAAATATTTCAAATCTGAGTCTAAAAACAGTGGATATTCCCGTCGTTTTAAGCTTTAGTTCTTTTTTAAGGTTGATTTTTGATTCATTCTAGGCAATAAATAGCGGAAAATCGGCAATTACTAAAACTCGGCTCGGCACGGCTCGGCTCGGCTCGGCTGGGCTGGTGTCTTACACGATCAGCCAAAAATTTTTTGTATGGAGGACGGGTAGTGCTACCCGTTGAGC